GCTAATATCTTGCCCAGCTGAGTGAGCCTTTGGGCAATCCTTGCTCTTTTCTGGCCTGGACGGGCGAGCTCACCGAGCATATCTAAGTCTCCTCGATTTAGGCTTAGCTTGGGCCATTTCGAGCTCTTCCTTATACCTCTATAATTTCGGTTCACTACCTCGGTTCTTCTTCTTCGCCGAGCCCTTAATCACCGGGCTTGATTACTCTAGCACGGCCCTGGGCTTTGGAAAGTGGTCATATGAGTACGCTTCATGTCCAACGATCATAGTGACTAAATAGTCCCGGGAAATGCCTCAAAATCCGCAATTTCCTAAATAATACCAAAGCTACGAAGACACTAGAAAACGCATATTAGTAATAAAAATTGCTCCGAAGAGCCAAAAATACTCCTAAACATGACCAAGGGACGGGGGTAAAACACTATATAAAATAGACCTATCACTGAGTAACAAATACAAATTAGTTTTAATTGCATAAGAGTAATAAAAAAAAATCAAAGGAAGGTTTTAATAAAACATAGAAAATATATGAAAGGCTAAGATATAAAGGCATACTATATATTTGATCTATAGTAAAATTCAAATTTAATTATAAGATCAAGGAGTTGCTAATTGTTGACAAACTTTCATAAATTATGCTCTTCATAAGCGTATATGCCTTTTCTCATTTACACCAAAGAATATATATAGATATCTCTGTACTAACAAGTCAACTAACATACAAAACCTATATACCTATATGCAATAGAGAATGCAATTGCATATCCACTTTCATATCTAAGCACAAACTCATCTTAAATTTATACAACTACTATATGATTAAACCAAAGTAGACAAGGAGCCACATATGATTATAGGAAGCAACATCGAAGGATTATCAAAAGCAATCCACAATGACAAAGCAATGGAATAATATAGAGGGCCTAAATCAAATTATGTACTTATAACATTTGAAATAATTTCGATTCAAAGACGATCCTAGATTTAGCTAATGCATTTATTAGTGACTCCCTGATTCGGGATCACCAAATGTATACCAATCCTATTTCTAATGAAATAAATTAGAAAATTAAAATAACTATATTCATTCACACAAAGAGTTCCTTAAAATGAATAATTTAGATGCATTCAATTGGAAATAAGTAAAATCATAAAAATAAAAAAAAAATGAAATAATCTTAAACAAAATATTTTCCTCAATAAAAGAAGCACAAACAAATATACTATAGGATTCAAGTCATCAAGTGTAGCTGTGTGGTTTTAGGTAACATTTCTAAAATCAAGAAATTACCTCACAAATCACAATACACTAATATCTTCAAATTATACTCTTAAGATATGCTCAAGTTTATGTTCCTAAATATATGCCTTAATATTTAGTTGACACGTTCAAGCTAAGTTAGGCACACATCTTAAGGAGAAGAGAGAGAATGTTAAAGCAAGTGGGGGTACACTAAAAAAATAAGATATTAAACTTACCCAAAAAGGAAACGTGTCAACTAAAAATAAATTTCCTAAAAAGAAATGCGTGTCAACTAAAAAAAACGGAGATAAGTATATCTTAACAATTTTTTTAAGCAAACAAAAGAATGTATATACTCCTTGGAAGGCCCAAATTCAAGCATAGACCAAATTCATATATCTCCAAAAAAACTGGCTATTTAAAATTCTTACTAATGTAGACCGAAATCTTTCATACCCAAGAACAAACAAAAGGCTAAAAGTGAAGAAGGAAAATTTCACTAAATGCATTATAACACAAGAACTCCTCAAGGATCAATTCCTTTTGCTCTATCCATTGCATGCAACGACTCTCTATTCCAATTCAAAAATATTTATTCTTATAAGAATTAATCTAATAGATAAATGAAAAAAAGAGGTAATCTAAAAACCTAGGTTATTAAATTAAAATAATATCTCTATCAATTCAAGAACCCCATAATTCATATAACCTATTTTAATTAAGGAAAAATTATAAATAATAATTCCAACTTTGCTGTATTTTCTTTTAATAATCTCAATTTTGGATTATTTTGGAATAATTCGAATTTTGGGGGCTGTTTACTTTCTTCAATCCCAATTACCGGTGACCGGTTGAATTAATTAATTTTTTTTTATTTTTTTTAAAGTGACACGTGTCACAAGTTAATTGGTTAAAAAAATTTTATAAACAAAAAAAATTAAAAACAAAAAAAAAAAAAGAAAAAAAAAACCAGCCAAGCCCTTGACACCGGCCAGCTTCTGCCACCCCTTGACGCCGACTGGCCGCCCTAACTACGTTGGTTTCCCCCTCCCCTCGCCAGACTGTCATTCACCCTTTCCCCTCCTCCAATCGGCCAATTGCCCCCAACCACGAAACACCTTTTTATTTTCTCTCTCCTCTCAATTGCCCCCAGCCACGAAATTTGGCCACCTATACGCCGGTCGGCCGTCCGTCCCCATTCTCCCGGTGCTGCGCCGGTATCCTCTCTCCCCTCGCGCTGGTACTACAACTCAACCCCCACCGGTTTCCTTCCCAAACCCAGCCCCTCCTTTTCTGGTTCTACTCCATTGTTGAAAGCCCCAACCTCAAACCCACTCGTGAAACTCCCTTAAAACCCCTCCCCTACTCCCGAAATCACCTAATTGCCCCTCCCCCACCATTGAAAACCCCAGCCATTAGGGTTTGGGGTGGGGGAGGAGCGATATAGGGGTTTTGGCAGTAGGGAGGGGTTTTATTGGTGGTTTTGTGAGGGAATGGGAGGTTGTTTCGGGGAGGGAAGAAAACGCCTACGCCAGGGGGTGGAGGAGATGCGGTGGGCCGGCAAGAGAGGGGCGGCAAGCTGGGCAGTGGGGTGGAGGTTAGGTGGGCTAGTAGGGGGAGGGGAGGTTGACTGGTGGTTTTGTGATATTTGGGTTTTTTTGTTTTTTTTTTTTATTATTTTTTTGGACCATTCAGGACTTGACACGTGTCAAGTGACCTAATATATAGGTCATTGACCGGATGGGGTTGAAGAAAGTAAACAACATTCACAGCTCGAATTATTAAAGAATAATGCAAAGTTGGGATTATTAAAAGAAAATACAGCAAAGTTGGGATTATTATTTTCAATTTTTCCTTTAATTAACATGCACCAAGATTTACCAATTTAGGACATGCTTGGATTGAGTGAGATGTAAACTAGGGTAATAAAAGTCAACCTAAACAAAATGAAAGTGAATCGGGAAGAAGGAGATAGTGATGGTGTGCTTGTAAGAAAAATTATGTAGTGATGGTGTGATATGAGGTGAAGAAAGAGGCTCATTTTGGGGGTAATAATTACACTAGGGGGAGGGTGTGTGACTATTACCCTCATTATGAGTGTAAAAATTCCTCCATCTCTCTCTTTTCCTCATGGAATAACTACCTTATTTCATTTGTAAATACCTTACCTCTTACACCACCTCCTCTAATTACTTATTTTTTTTCAAGTTTGACTTTTACCCTTTTAATACATTACCCCCAATCCAAGCATGACCTTAAGTAGAAACAATGAAAGCAAAATTTAACCCTTATTAAAACAATTTAGAAAACCTTTCATATCAAATCCTTTACACAAGTTTAGAAACTTAAATATGTAGATCTAGCTAGTAGTTCAAATCAATTCAATAAACAAGTCAAGGAAGAGGAGGATAAAATTACATACCTTTAATAATTTTTATCCCTGGTTGCTTATATGGAAGAAAAGAGATGGAGAGATATGAGTGACAATAGCCACAAGCCCACAACTAGAATAGCAAAGGAGTTTGGAGAGAGAAACAAAAGTGACAGAAATAAGAGGGAAACGAAAACAAAGCAGCGTTAATGTTAATATTTGAAGGGTAGAAACGTAAATTCACTTGAAAATTCATGTAGAAAGTGTAACTCACCGAGGGGGTACAAGGCGAGAAATTCCTTTACCGTACCGCTATTGTTATTTCCTGTCATTGCCTACATTTTACCAATTGCAAGGCAACCAAACAACCCATCAAAATTGAAATTCATGGGATTTGATTTTCATTGAACATGGGAATTTGTGGTAACCAAACAAGCTCTTAGTATTTATAGTACTTTTCACTATTAATAATACATTTCACATTTTAGTGGTACCAATGTTAATTTATAAAATATTCACGAATTTGCCATGTTATGTACCAAATGCTTCATCCGTTTTTTTTTAAAGTTGCAACACACACTTTATTACGATATTTAAGAAAAGTTGACCTCACATGATATAATACACTTAGCATAGGGTTTAGAGATTATTAGGAGTATAATCACGTGGGTCATAAGGTTTAAATAAACGTAATATTATAATTTTCACTATAAAAATCTTTCTTTTATAGTGTATTGCAACTACTCTGTATTGTGACATTTTCATTTTATGAAAGTATTGACGGAGGAAATATATAAAAACACTGCATAACTCCCTTTGTGTTTTAATTTTACCTTTTTTTTTTTGGCAAAAAACTATATTTTAATATTATATATCTCTTTCCTCTCATGAACTCCACCCAAACCTACAACTACTTTCTAATTAAATCTTTCCTCTCATATTCATTACTTTTCAATAAATTATTAACCTCACTATCTTTGTTTTACTATTTTTTAATACTCCAACTACCCCACCTACCTCTTATTTTACTTAATTAAATTGCCTAAAATTATGTGTCGGTCAAATTATAACATGTACATAAATCTTTATATGTGGCTGACCACACTGTGTGGTCGGGGTTACTCGGTCAGGGGTTACTCGCTCAGGGGTTACTTCATCAGGGGTTACTCGAGGGGTTAATCGGCCTGGGGTTACTTGGTCAGCAGTAACTCAAGTAACCCCTGACTAAGTAACCCCTCGGGTAACCCCTAACTGAGTAATCGTTCGAGTAACCCCGACCATATGGTGTGGCCAGCCATACTGAAAAATCCTTATAACACTTATTAAATCACGGAGGGATTATTATGACATGTGATGCTAAGGCCCAGCCCGGCCCAAATTTTGATTCAACGAAAAAGGGCGTAAATCGTTAACAACGAGGCACGATCTTGATCATCAGCAATTCCACCTAATCCGTTTCAATTGAACTCTACAAAATCACTACACAATTTACCGAAATAAATTTCCATAATTTACATGATACTCTTATACAAATGGAAATCGCACTACACTCATCATCTTCTTCAATTTTCCAGTTAACTCCATCTTTTTCCTCGTATAATCACCTCAAATCTTCTATTATTTCATTTAGAATTTCAAATTTCTCCAAATCCTCCATTTCTTGCTCCGCATCTTCAAAGGTTCGTCTTCTTTTAATCTTCTAATTATGAGATTTGGAATTATATATTTTTGATTGCAACATAAATGACCTTAAACAATGTGTTTTTGTATTTTAATTTGTGAAATTTGATTCATATTGGGGTATCAAGATTCATATTGTTGTACATTACTAATCTAATTGATCATTGAAAACTCGCCGTTTAATGTGTTAATCGATTTATAGAGCAATTGATATGGTATTAAGATTGCTTGTGCTATTTGGCAGGTAGTTTCATGCTCAGCAAGTGACAGAGAACGGCGAATTAATAGTGTAGAATCTCATTATTGTTATGATAAAGCTATTCCTGAACAGATAATTGAGAAGCCGGTTGGGTTATCGGTAATTGAGAAAGAAATAGGCAATCAACCTCGGTGTGATGATTGCCAAACTAAAGGTGCCGTGCTTTGTTCAACCTGTGGTGGTTCCGGCTTGTACGTTGATTCCATATTAGAGTGTCAAGGAATCATGCTTAAAGTTCGATGCCTAGGTAACACTCTTCTATTGTTTGACACATTAATTTAATTGTTTCGAAAGGGTGAATTGCTGAATGCAGTGCGTTTCCGGGTTGCCAATGAAATATATCTAAAGCGTGTAATGTTGATTGTTTGTAACTAATAAAGCATGGTAGTTGACTAATTGTAATCCATATCTTGTCATCGATGTCAAAATGTCAGTTCATGAGAAGTTTGATATATTTTCAATTGTGTATATGAGCAAGGCTTATAATTTCTAGTAAAGGATATGTGAGTGCAGGTCCATAATCCGTCGTAATTCTTGTTTGTTTGGGTGGCAAGGTAAAAATGGGGTTGCATTGCTTATCAATTATTTTGATGATACTTGATATATTGGTTTCCTGGTTTTTACGAAGATATCTACTAAGGACAACACTTACAGGAAAAAAATAAAATGAAGTCATCGTTTTATTTTATCAAACTGTTGCCTTGCCCCTCTCTCTAAAGAGTAAAGGGACAACTTCCTGATGAGCTGTTTGCTTTGTAGGTTGTGGAGGTACAGGCAGTATCCTGTGCTCTGAATGTGGTGGCAGAGGCCATTTATAAGCTGCTAGCTACATCAGTATTGGTGTCTGATTGATTTGGTTCTGTAAAATTGTATCAGGTCTGTTGTGGCTATTTTAAATTCCCTAAATGTTAGTTGTGACAAAATTTCTGATAATTTAATATAAAGTATTTATTTTCCTGTCCACCTTCTTTGTTTTCGATTATTTTGTGGTTTTAATTTCTATTCAAATGCTTTCAGATAAACTTTAGTTGTGCTGTTTATGAATTGTCTTTCCTGTGTATTCATGACATCATTGCTCTATAACTCTATACATGCAAATGGTTGAACTGACCATCTTTACACTGCACCAGTCTAGTAGCAAAAATGCAAGTGCTTGATTTAAGATACAACAATTTCCACTTTTTCATTTAATTTTACAAAAGAATACCTGCTGTTTCAGAATCTGACCTTAAGCTTTTTGACATGTTTACATTATAATCTGGCTCTTTTACCTCTGTATCAAGTATCAACTGTGTGTACATAGTGTGGAAAACAGAGCTTATAAGATAAATGAAAATCTATCACTGAATTACACTTGATTTCTGTCACATATCCTTTATGTCTTTAACAGTATGTTTGGGAACCGGGCTTTATTGAGGAAATAGGAGTGGAAAGTAAATAAATGTTAGAGAGTAGAATTCTTTAGTGTTACAATGTTTGGTTGTTGAAAAGGAAAGGTATGGTTGTATAGGAAAGTGAAATGATTAAATGTGGGTAAAATTTCTAATTATGTCTATTATTTTTTTATTTTTATTTTCATAGTTTTACTTTCAAAATTGATGTAAACGCAGGATAAATAAGCAGATTAGAAATTTAACTTTAGTACCGTCATACGGAGTACTTTATTTTCCATAGATTTCCTTTATACGGAGTAATAAACAAGTAAACATCAAATATTATAATATGTTTTTGTTGTTTACATTTTAACAAATTTCTATATATTTACTTTTTCCTCATATTTCTGACTTAAATTGGTTCCCAAGCTTGAAATAGTTTATTGTTCCCAAATATGAATATGCTATTTGATGGGTGCTAGAATGGTCGCACATTCCACGCTCATTCAAACACAGTTATAAACAAACATCTTACAAACCAAGCACAATGATAGGTAAGAGTTCGATCCACAAGGAACGGGATATAATTGCTAATGATCTTAACACGCAAGCTAGTTCGAAGATTTTGGTTGATTGGGGGTTCGTCAATTAGACAAACAAGTTATTGTTTCTAAATCAAGTAATTAAAAGCAGGGAATGAGATCCACTCAACCATGGTAACCAAACATATTGGGAGCAAATAAAGATAAGAGATAGTAAGGACCACATGTAAGACCAACCTCATGCAATTAAGAATACAACTCAAACTCCTAAACTTAGATCCCTCATTAGTTTAGCAATAGGAGATAAATAATCAATGTTGCAATAAGAAATGACAAATTTGATTCACATTCCTATGTCAAACTAAGGATATCATGTCATCAAGCCCAAAATCAAGGGTAGCTACTCCTATCAAGATGAACTAACAAGCAATCTCATATAATCAATTTAATCAAATCAATACCAATACTTCTCCCAAATTCACTTAATTAACCATGAGGTTGAGTTTCACCCAACCCCTAGAAAGAGGACTACTCACAACTCATGGTAACATGCAAAGTAACAAGTTATGGTTCTAAGTAGCTCTAAAATTTGGGAATAGTGATTTACTAAAGATAAAACTAACATGTAACAACAAATTAACAAGATCAAGAGAGATTCAAAAAGCTTGCAATAACAAAATAAAATCAGAAAATGAATAGAGAAAAGTGAAAGAAGTTACTAAGTTGAAGCTTCAATGTTGAGTACAATTGCTGAAAATTAGAGAATAAACCTTGAATTTACTTCCACAATGATTGAGAGTTTCTACACTAAATTATCAAATAATTTAATGAACTAAGTTGCTAACTAAGAGAAATGTTGCTGAAATCTATTCTAAAACTGTTGTCTCTAAAATGAACAATTGAGGTAGTATTTATATTCCCTGAATTACATAGGTTAATCCGTAAAAAAATAGCTGGTTTCCGGTTAGGAGCGCCCGCTCTAAAAACAAGAGCGCCCGCTCCAGATAAATTGCGTGCCCGCTAGTCTGTGTCTTCAAATGGTGGCAGATTCAGCACAAGGGAGGAGCGCCCGCACTTAGGAAGGTGCGCGCTCGCTCCTCCCTATTTTAGAGAGGATTAGATTGTAGGAGCATATGTACGAGCACCCACTCCCTCGTGAGTGCGCGCCCGCTCCCTCGTTAGTGCGCGCCCGCTCCTAGTAAAATCAGCAAAAGACAGATTGTGGTGCAGAGCGGCCGCTCCTAAGAAGGTGCACGCCCGCTCCTGGTAAAATAACAAGATGGCAGATTGTATTGCCTCTCTTGCAGGGACGCCCGCTCCTCCAGGAGTGGCCTCTCCTTTCATTCTTTGCTGGCTCTAGAGTTATTCCATGAACTTTCTTTGCTTGTCAAAACTTCATCTATACCTGCAATCATGTACTCAAACACACAAGGAGGCGACAAAGCCAAAATGCAACATTTATATACAAAAGGGGTTAGAAAGAGGGGCAAAGTAGGAGAAAAGATTTCAAAATCGGGTTAAAATCACCACAATATGTGGTCAAATAAACCACTTATCAAATCCCCCCAAGCTAGCCAATTGCTTGTCCCCAAGCAATCCACATAGCTCAAACGAAACCGATGGATTAGTCCGCTCAAAGAAAAGCACATGCATAGATAAAAGAATCCTTAAGCAATAAAACTTGGGCATGAGGTACATGCCTAAGATCAACCACGGTCATGACTAGCCAAGGCCTAGCTAACCTTCCCTGAAATACTCAACTTAGGCCTATTCAACAAATCTTACCGCGTCCCCATCACAAAGTTCAAATTCTCCCTAATGGTAGTGTCTCATGATTCCTCGAAGGAGCCGGAAAAACATAGATAAAGCGGGTTTTAAACACTCGACATCTCAATGAAAAGTACTCTCTCCATATGCTTGTGAACCAACTTCCTCCACCGACGATGGCTCCAACTACTCTGACTGACAATACACTAAAATTTGAAGATTTCGACACTAAGTTAAGGCATAGAAGAAAACTAAAAGAGCTTGTATTTGATTCCAAGCTAAGATGTAAACCATTAGGAGCAACCCTAAGTAGGGCTCTAACTTTGACTTCAAATACTAACCATGATTATACTCAAAGCAAAAAAAAAAATGCACCCCCAAGCTTGTTTATTTGCTAGGGCTTTTTTTTTTTTTAATCTTTCTTTCTTTCTTCCGTTTTTTCTTTTTGCCCTTCTTTTTTTTTGTTTTAGAGAAACTTTTATATACAAAACCAACTACTATTTACAATGAACAAGAAAATTAAACTTAAGAAAACTAAAAACCGGATGCCTTAACTTGCGATTATGCATATACGCCTTATGAAACAACCTTCATTAACGATAAGAGTAGTTTAGGCCGCGATCTTGGGAGTTAGAGCTCAAGTTTTCGACCTAGGTACTAAATCAAAGAAGATCATTGCCACTCATTCAAAAATGTAGATGGCTTAAAAAATATAAAACCTTACTTTTTAGGACAATGTGGGATCAAATACTACCTTTCGGGGTTCAAATTCCTTCGAGACGGGCGACACCTTCTTACCACAAACCTAGACTTTAAGTCTTGCACATTCGGTAAGGTTATTCTCACACTAGCCTAGACTAGCCAATTCTATATTTAACCAAAGGCATCTAAACCATGCTCGAAATTTTATTACCAAAAGAAAGCGAGTATCTACCATATGCAATCTAATATCATCATTGCGAACCAATCAAAAGCAAAAATAAAATTTCATTTTAAAATCTCATTTTTCAATTTATTTTATTTATTTATTTAATTTTTTTTTAAGGGAGGAGAAAAGGAAACTAGTTAAAGAATTTGGATATTAGGGCTTTGGATTTTCAAGGGAAGAGAAAAGGAGAGATAGAAAAGAATTTGGATATTAGGGCTTTGAATTGTTAGGGAAAAGAATCATCAACTCATCATCATCATCATAAACATCATCATCAATCAAAAAGACCAACAAACCAATCATACATTGCATTCAACCAACAAGTCAACCAACCTCAAAATAAACCAAAGCTATTGTAGATGAAAGACGCTCTAATGCACACATATGATAGAGAAGTAAGGCAAACACATCAACATGCAATCGTTCTAGCCTAGGCGTTCCATATAATCATGAAAAGAACAACAACCAACCTAAAATAGACACGCACAATCTAGAACATATTACAACATAAAACCCACCACAACTCCCAAAGGCTAAACTAAGCCTCACATGCTAAACACTCCACATCTAGGTTAAACTTCTCAATACATGCACAAAAATAGCGTCATACATAAGCACATACACTAAATCGAAAACCACCCCTATGAAAAAGGACCACAAGAAACCCCAAGCTAGACATTTGTTTAGCGTTCCCCTACTAAATTGTATACAATGAGAAACATCATTCACCCCCCCACTAGAAATCGACATCGGCCTCGATGTTACAAATGTTGGGAGGGAATAGGGAACGGTAAATACAAATGTCTACATATAACCCCCATCATCCCTTCTCGGCGACGATGGCATGTAGTTATAATTTAGGTCTACATCGCCGGAATAAGAAGGGTGATCGACATAAGGAGGAAGATCATAGTTGGGACGATTTCGGTAGTGGTCGAAATCCAGCACACTACCCTCGCCCCAACCCTTCAGGGGTGGTCATCAATGTCCTCGGGAGTCATATTACCATAAGTCTCGAGGACGTGGTAATAAGAAGGGTCCCCACAATAGTCACAACCCCCGAGTTGTGAATAATCATAGGGTGGATAGGATCATAACTCCGAAATGGAGCTACGAGGCCCTTGCCAATAGGCATAGGTGGGTTGGTTATTACTTCAACCCGGAACTGCCCCTTCTTCAACAAGGCGGTTAGGATACTTGACATAGGGAAGAAAGTCTCCCATTTCAACTTGGTTTTGATAGGTCATTTCGGAAACATTGCTTTGGTATTCATTTTCTTGCAAGATTCTTTGGTTGGTGAAATTAAGTTGGTTAAACGCAGTTTCTAGGTCAAAGGAAGAAGAGGAACCGGCC